CAAAATAACATATTTTTTTTATCTGTTTTTGGAAGCAAACTGATCTGATTCTGAGCAAAGGGGTTGGATCAGATGACCTCCTGAGGTCTCCTCCCACCTGAATTTCTTTATTATTCTATATAATTTTGTCTGAAATTGGAAAACAAAATAGTTATCCAGAGGCAGACATACAAGCTTAAAAACCTCAGTGAAAACAAGTTAACTTTTGAATCCTGATCATGTGAAAACAGTGCCATACAAATGCAAACAGTCCTACAAACAGGCAGGCCTCCCAGACCCGACAGTAATTGCAAGCCTTATGCATGAACACACTGAGGTGTATCCTTTAATCCCTCAGCAGCAGCGATGTTACCCATGACAGTTTCGCTTCTCAAAAAGTCTCCATTTCAGCTTCGCTTCAGTATTAGTTTACAAGCACAAAGGTATTTATTGCTTCATGTTGCTCCTGGTGAGAAGGTTATCCCACACTCTTCCTGCAGTTGTCTTCTGCCGCAGCCCGCTCCCCAGCCCTCTCTGCATCCGACCCTGCGCCTCTCAACGTGCCTGTTGTTCCCAATCGCCTGTGCTTGCACATTCCTGAACTTGGGGCCACAGCCCTGCAGTCAGATGGCTCCATCACCATGCTCTCTTTTCCTCCAACGATGACTCACACGGTTTTACTTTGAAATGTTCATGGGGTAGGTCTTGCTAAAGAGCTGCAAAAGCATGTAATTTCTTTGATCTGAGTCAAAAGAGAGGAATTGAAGATTTTTTTTTCCCTTTTAAATATCCTAGAGTGGTAACAGAGAAACAATCAGCAATAATTTTGCATAGGAAGAAATGCTGTCATATCTGACACTTCTACACTGGCTAGAAAACTGGAGATGTCCTGCACTACTGTATCAAAGACTTTCTTGAATTCTCGTTTTATTCCTCCCTGCCCTATTTGGTCAGTCGGTGGTATCTGGGTTAATGAAACGTGTCCTCACAGCACAGCAGCTCCGGGAGTGAAGCACAAGCTGTTGATCTGGTAGGCTGTGGGGACACACAGCCTCAGGAGGAGTGCCTGGGGACCCAGGGGGGTACCGGAGCTGAGAACCCACACTGGGGAGCAGGGAGAAAGCGGTAACATCTCCCTGTTGTCATCCAGCTCTTCTGACTGGCCAGGGATCTGCAAGGGCTTGCATTAAAAGCTGATCTACAGGAATGCTGCAGGAGCCGATTACAGTGAGACAGCCTGGGTATGGGCACTGTCACTTACAATACTGACATGTTTTCATTTATATCTTGTCCCTGATGCTATTACTTAGTCTTCTTCACCTGAATAACAGCACTGCTATTATTTATTCTTATGCACCCAGAGATACCTTTATTTTTTCAGAGCTTAGGTATGTATTGTATCTGGCACAGCACAGTTCTGCTCCGAATGACTGCCTGCACAGTAACAGCAATGCTATATGCACTGCATCTCCCCCCAAACTATAGCAGCCTGCTATAATTTTTACTTCCATTTTCTCTTTACTTGATGCTTTTCAAGCTTTCTGCTTTGTCCTTCTCCTCTGCAATCTGTGTATGTTGGCAGGTAGACGGGCTGAATCTTTGGTCCTGTAGCCTTTTTCCAGAGTCCTCTGCAAACCCCTCAGACCATTTTATCTTGCAGCATTGTCACATACTTCTTTCTGTCTCTCTGTCAGAGTCTGGAGTTAATCCAGGATCTGGGGAGGCATTGAAGGGTATAGGGCAGAAGCATCAGGCATCTGGTTTTGCTACACAGTTCATTAGTGGCATGAGGGTAGGAGCTATCACAGAAAAGCATGGCTGCGGCCCATGATGTGGCACGTGGGTGTGTAAAACCCACCTGAGCGGAGGTATTACACCTGGGAAGGATGGAGCCTTCAGACTCCAACCTCAAGCTGGAGGAAGCTCTCCTGAGCAGACGAGAGGCTGTGGGTCAGGGAGGTAACTCGGTCACAGAGCAGTTGTGGGATGGAGCGTGTATGAGTTAACACAGCAGATGAAAGTTCAGCAAGTGTGGACGGACCGACATAATGAAATTGGGATGCGGGCTCGGCGTTACCGGGGCCGCGGCAGGACCTGTGCCTCGGCGGGAAGGAGGGCGGCACACGCGGCGCGGTGCCGGCACCCCGGGCACGGCTGCCCCCGTCCCGTCCCGGGGTGCCCGGAGCCCTGCGAGCAATGCAGCGTGTCTCCCACTTGTGCACGACCGCGGCAGCGCTTCCCCTCTGAACTACGTGCTGAAATGTTTACGTTCCTCGTTAGTGTGTGACTCATGCAATGGTTTGGTTTCTTGTGCCCATGTATAAAATTACCTGCACATGGGTAACATAAGAAGTGTTTTCCAGTAGAACAACAGCTAGAACGTTATGCAGCGTTCCTGTAAAACTGCACAGACCAAATGAAAAAGCCCCCTCAAAGCCAGCTCTCTGGATTACCAAAACTGCCCTAGACTATTACAAGTGAAAATATTTTGAAAATATCATTTCTTTGGCTATTTTGTTACTTTACTTTGTGTGCTTCACACACCTTAAAGAAAATAAATAATCTGATCTTACTTCTTATTTCTTATAAACGAGAACAGTGGGACAATGTGTGGGTTGCACATCTTGAAAGGAAAAACTGGAGCGGACTTGATTTCCCAGGGTAGGGCTTTCTTTTTTAATTTACCAAACACGCTTCTTATGAATAATACACTTTTAAAAATATCTGGAACATATTTTAGAGATTTAAACTGGGGATTCCCTTACATCCATCTTCTCTGAATTTTACCGTATGGAACGTTAAAACCTCATGCTGAAGTGAAAGATGTGTATCCTTTCTAAATATGAATCTTTCCAGCTGTGGGAGAGACATGGGCACTTTGTACAAGCAGGAGTCTGGCAACAGCGTGTGGGACTCCCGCTGCCCTCTGCACGAGCCGTGGCTGGGAGGGAGGGCAGGGGGCGATTCCGGGGACTGAAAGCGCCGAGCGAGTCATTCACAGGAGCGTGAGACTTCTCACAGGGAAAGATTTTCTGAGGCTGAATTTTGAAATCCTGCGCACGGAGACTTAAAATGCACAGGCCATGGAGCTGACAAGGGCAACGGTGTGCCCGTGGGGTGCTGGCAGAGCAGGGCAGGGTGCTGCCGCAGGGCAAACCCCTCCACGGCCGCTTGCTGCGTTCAGCTGCTGCCTTGCCCCAGCCAGCTCCCGGGAAAGCTCTGGAAGAGAAACCAGTGTCCTGGGCCGGAGCCCGAAGCCTCTGCTAGCGTGGGAATAGCACGCAGAAGAGGATGCAGGGGCTGATTTACGTCACAGCACTGCATGTAAAACAACAAGTTACAAAAGGGCGTTCTATAGAAAGGAAAAAAATACTAACTGAATATCAGAAGAATGTTTGTCTGCCTGCTTTTAGTTTAACGTGGCTCTTTTTTTAGTCACTCAGCTAGGATGACTGAATTTGTAGTAGCTGAAAATGCTGCAGAGTCATTAAAGTCAGCTTGAGAAAGTGCTTGGAGGATGTTCCACAGCTCTTCTGAAACACACCAGCATGTTAACCGTGGTAGACACTCGAGGCCAAAATACAAGGCAATAGCAGCACCATTGCCTGCTATAAAAAAAATCAATTAGAGAAGCACATCATTTTACAAGAAACCTGTGTCAGTCAGCATATGTTATAAAAACATGTTGTGATTGATAGATCTTAAAGGAAATGTCAAGTAAACCCAAACAGATTATTTGCAGTAAAAGACAAGCATTTGCTCTTCCCCAACCTTTTTTCTCTTTGTCCTCTAATTCTCGCTTTTCCCATTCAGCAAACTTAAAAGGTTAATCGCTGTCAGGAACGAACAGGTGAAATCTTTCTCCTGGCCTTCGAATAATCCACGACTGAAAATGCTCGTGAGGGTTATTCCGGTGGAGGTCTGATGCCACCTAAAGTCTCCAACAAGTCTTGCAGTAGAAGAAAGCATTTCTCCCCAGCATTTCCAAGCAGGAACAGATCTGAAGTTATTGGTTATTTATAGTTCTTTGTGGCTACATTAAGCACAGCAGAAGTTTGCACTGTGAGAAAATTAGCTCAGTCATGCTGGGCTGGGTAAAAATCCAAATTTCTGTCATCCTCAGCCTGCAAGAAGCAGACGTTGTAACCCCATTCAAAATTAAAGCTCTGAAATGGAGAGCCTGTCTTTATTCCCTTGGTGCTAAAACTATCTTAGTAATGATGTTCCTTTATTTTTAACGTTTGGAAACCATGTGACTGTAAAAGGGAAGTGGATTCAGAAGATGGAAGGACAATGTACACAAGACATTCTCCATGAATGATATCAGCCCTTAATGTTTAGGGGATACCAACATGCATGTTAAAGTACTCTACTGAGCAGGGTTAATACCTTTATCACTAGAATTGGTCAATAAGCCTGTTAAAATGTATTACAGTAAAAATATGCAGTTGTCACAAAAGTATACATACTTTGGAAAATGTGTTGCTTTTACTAGATTTCCTTCGGAGTAAGTATTGATCGTGGTGGTATTTTACATCTGATTTAGTAGTGTTTTTATTTAGGATTTTTTTTTTCAATTTTATTTTAATTTTCCCTTGTTTGTGCATTAGTGCTCAACATAAAAACATCAGTATTATACATTATGCTGTTGACATGGTTGTAACAGCTAAGAACTGAAGTTGCTTTTGGATTTTAAGCATCATTCAAAGTGGCTGCTATTGAGTGCCGTTGGGAACGTTAAACCTTGTCTTCTAGATTAAAGTGTCTCCTGACTGCTATAATGAAACAAATCAATTCTAGATTTTACCTTTAGTTTCAAGTCACCTAGAGGTGAGGACGGGAGGAGCTACAACAGTGCACAGTACAGAAGTGGTAGGGACTGGAAAGGCTGTCTGAAGTCAGAAGTGATGGAAGGGCAGCCCCTTGGGCACTTGCATTTGAACATGCCAAGTTTATCAGCAGGTGGTAGGTGTTGTGGACAAAAAAGAACCTCACTAACGAGCTTGTTCCTCTCTCCCCAGCACCCTCTCCAGCTGCTCGCACGCTGTGGTGGCCCTGCTGTACCCCTTCTCCTGGCAGCACACCTTCATTCCTGTTCTGCCCTCATCCATGATTGATATCGTGTGCTGCCCTACCCCCTTCCTGGTGGGACTGCTCTCCAGCTCTCTGCCCAAACTGAAGGAGCTGCCCGTAGAGGAGGTAGGAGCTGGCACCAGATCTGTTTGCCTGGAGTAAGGCTGGCCTCACCCTGGAGAGGGCCTGCCATTCGCACAGAAATCTTCACATTTAATTCTTAATCTGCCTCTCTGTTTTTTCTCCGCCTAATTCTCATGGGCAACCGCCTCTTGGTAAAACTGCAGTAGTATGTTTAGTTTTCTCTTTATTCTGCCCTTCTTCCCATACCTGGCACCTTAACAGAGAGAATTGAATGTTAACCTGATCAACAAGTACAGTGTAAATATGCTGATTTCTTCTGATTTTGGTGTACCTGGAACAAGAAGAAGAAGGCATGAAGTGCCATATGCTAGGACACCTATTAATGCTAATGGAAGTTGTGCATGAAGCCATATCCAGCACAGAAAATAAAACCTTTAAGGCTTTTTTTTTTTTTGTTAATTTCTAAGTCTGTTAATACCATATTGGAGATCAAATAAGAGTTGCACTTCATCAGCTTTTCCAGTAAAATACCCCAAAAGTACTCAAGGGCACACTCTTTCTCTTTCTTTTCTTGTGCTTGCATTAAAGGATCTCTGTGCCTCTGGCCCATGTAAATCTCTGCTGTTTTCCTCCCACTTTCCTAACATTGCTCTCCCACAGCTCCATCTCTCAGCTTTGCTGCTTCATTATGATTAATATTTCATACCCTTGCCTTTCAGAAGCCCTGCTGCCTCAGATGACACCATTTTCTTTAAACCCTTCTGCAATTCCCTTTGTCTGCACGTTAACAAAATGATTAGCAAAAACTTGCTTATGTTTATGATAAAAGGCCTGCCTAACCCTTCTAGCTTTTTTTACATATTAAACTCATATGAGATCTGTTGTATCTAACGATGTTAAATTAGACTTTCAGCTCTAAAGAAAAACTTAATCTTCTTGTTTTGTAAAGCACACAACTTATTGTTTCACAGTAGGAATTTGATTCATGTTGAGGCATCATTCAGATGATCTTTTGCTATTGAAAGGCAGACATGAATATTTTCTGTCTCTTCAGATATATTTCACTGCACTGTTTTCTTTTTTTAGGCTTTGATGGTTAACCTGGGATCCGATAGATTCATCAGGCAGGTAAAGTTCAGCTTGCAGCATTGCCAGGCAGTCTAGCAAGCTATTTACTCCTACAGTATGATTAGTTTTTTTTTGATTAGAGATACTGTGCAGGAATTGTGCAGTGGGAAAGAGATCAGGAAAAAAAAGTGCTCACCTGCAAATAGGTACTACTTCTCAGGTATGCAAAAGGGATTGAAGCTGTAATTGTGAGAAGAAATCAAAAACTGTATTCACAGTGTAAAGAAACTATCCAAAGATTATAATATGTTAGCAAGAAAGATCACACTGTTGGAGGTGAAAAGGACAAAAATTGCAAAGAAAGATTTCTGAATGAGAGGAAAAGTGAAGAGGAGACAAATGATCACCATCTCCTGATAGTAATGTGGCACTAAATAATTTCAAAAATAACAATCTGCAGGTTAGATGAATAAACTTTCTTGTATAATTTGTTGCAAGATAGCTGAATAGTAGTTGCAGGGCTATGATTCTTGTGTCTACTCGCTTTTGCTGAACAAGCATTAAATAAGATGAAGAAAGCAACCCGGGGAAAACCCAGAAAACAAGATATACCAGAATATAAGTAAAATCAACTGTCAAGAACCAAAGAAGCTGCCTAAAACCAACTAGAGCAGCTGTGTGTACACGTAGCTAGGCTTTGCATGATGTGTATTTAGTTAAAAACAACTATTTGGACTTTTTGTCATACAAAGAGCTGATTCCAAGTTTCTATATGTTTACCTTGCTCTTTAGATTAGCATTCCTGACTTTAATCTCATTAAGAGTGACATGTAATTTTGTTTAGAAATATATGATAGTTGCACATAGATTTTCATTACTTTGTTTATGTAGGCATGACAGCAGCAGATACTAAATGCTTTTCTTCTGAATTTTAAATCGTGAAAAAGTATTTTTTGTAGTTGCTGCATAGATTAATGTGATCTATAGTTTGTTTTTTTTTTCCCCTCTATCAGATGGATGATGAAGACACGCTATTACCTAGAAAACTGCAAGCTGCTCTGGAGCAGGCTCTAGAGAGAAAGAATGAACTGATAAATCAGGATTCAGATAGTGATTCAGATGATGGTAAGTTCATTTGGAAACAGGGACTTGTATAAACAAGCACATAGGTAGTATTGTGACCTTCTATCCAGGAGAAAGAAAGATGGGACTTTAGTACTCAAATGCCTTTTGTGACCTCAAAGATAGTCTCTGAACACACAGGGAATGGGACTCATAGCATCAACCCACAGTAATACATTGTCAGCGATCTATTTTAATTTCTTTGTAAATGACATGCACTCCCATGAGTACCTCTAAACCTTTACTCAGAGGTTTGCGGTTAACTTGGCCCTAATTCAATCCAGATAACTATACATGCTTAGGGGTGCGTCTGAGTTTGCTGTTGCTCTTGGCGCTCAGTATATTCAGGGGAGAGAAGCAGGTATCTCCAGAAAATAGTTTCAGTGCAAGAGGGGCTGAGTTGCCTCTGAAAGTTCATATTTCTCTCCAGCAATTATAAAGACAGCCCAGGGTGAATTTAAATGCCTGTGGTTAAAAGGTATGAAACAGGCCCCTGTTCAGTTTTTGAAAATTATTTCTACTCATCTGTGTTACATATGTAAAACTATTTTAACATCTCAGAAATTATGAAAACCCGAATTCTACAACATACCCTTTCTTGGTAAAGACTTGTTATCTCTAGTGCAAACATTTTAATTCTGAATCATTCAGAAGCTTTTCAAGAAAATTTACTCAAGAATTAAAACATGAGGTATAATTTTGATGAAGCACCCACAAATTTTTTAATTTTCTGAGCTGTTTCCCGAGGATTTGTATCTCTTCGTTATGAAATGCCAATTATACGTAGACTGGCGCTCTTGATTATAAAGCTCTTGCCCTGTGCGATGTATATCCAGGTCTGCAAGGACCCGGTACAACTCCCCTCGGTGATTAGCATGGCATCAGTACACCGCTCGACGCCAGTACCTGGCCCTGTGTGGATGACAGTGCTGACAGCTCTGGTAGCAGCTGATTTTGGTGTCTTATTGCCGCCTTATTTTGCAGAATGTAACACCCTGAATGGATTAGTGTCTGAGGTTTTTATCCGATTCTTTGTGGAGACAGTTGGCCATTATTCCCTGTTCCTAACCCAGAATGAAAAAGGAGAGCGGGCCTTCCAAAGGGAGGCTTTCCGTAAATCTGTGGCCTCCAAGAGTATCCGCCGCTTCTTGGAAGTTTTTATGGAATCTCAAATGTTTGCTGGCTTCATCCAGGACAGAGAGCTGAGAAAATGCAGGGCAAAAGGTAAGGGCAGTTTTCTTTCCCTGCAGTGTGGGTTACTGGTGCTTCGCCCAGGCCCCCCAGCTACTGCCTCTGTGTGCTGTCAGGGCTGAGCAAATCCTGTGCGGCTGAAAAATCTCCCGAAACACGCTGTCCCCTTCTGGTGGGCCTCGATGACAGCTGTGGTGGTGATAATACAAAGGCTTTAACCGGAAGAATATTCACATCTGAGCGCCTTAAATCACTCGGAGGCGAACCTGGGCACGCTCCTGCCAAGGGCGCAGCCCATCCCTGACGGCAAAGCACCCCTGAGGCGGCCCGGCAGCGCTCGCCAGGGAACCGTGGAGGCGCTCGCAGGCCCAAGCCCAAGGCGGGCGGATGGCGGGGGAAGCCCCCTCCGGCCGCCATGGCCAGGCCCCGGGGCGGGCGCCTTGCAGTGAGCGGGGCTGCGCAGCCCTGACCGCGGCCGGCCGGGCCCAGCGCCTGGGGGAACAGATTCGGCCTGACAGAGCTCGCCCCACTTCCCTTTCCTCCCCTCTTCCGCAGGCCTCTTCGAGCAGAGGGTTGAGCAGTATTTGGAAGAGCTTCCAGACACAGAACAAAGTGGAGTGAACAAGTTTCTGCGAGGCCTTGGTGAGGAGAATCTTTAGGATTATTTCTGAAGTTAATTTTCATGTCTTTTTCTTTTTTTTTTTTTAAAATTAAAAAAAAGCTTTACCTGAGGTGAAATTAGATAGTCAAGCAGCTTTGTTGTGATAGGAAACAGGAAAACAATGAAAGCATACTCAAAGCTGACAAAACCAGACTTAATTATGATCCCTGTTAACACTTTCATTTTCACTTGGTGGGGGGTAACCAAACCATAATGGAGGAGGAGAAAAGGCATGTGGCTGATCACTCAGGTTTCTCTTAGTTATCTCTGCCCACTGGCATTAAGTACTGCAGCCATTACATTACAAATTGGACCCATTTGCTAAGTCACCTTTGATTGCCCTTGGCTTTTCAGTGTATGCTAGAGACTGATGATGTGCTTTCTTTAGGAAACAAAATGAAGTTCCTTCACAAGAAGAACTAACTCGTTTCTGCTGAAGTACCAACCCAAAGACTATTTGTGACACTGCGTGTGAGACAACTGCAGCTTTTCAGAGTTTAATGCGGGAGGAGAGCGGTGGAAGCTGACCACAGCTTTAAGTGACAGCTGATGCTGTTAGACATCGTTGTGCCAGATGATGGCTCCTTTATGTATTTGGATAGAATTTGTACATAATGTGCTGTAAGCTTTTGTAACTGATTTTGTAATGAGCAAGGAAAACTGTGGTAAATATTTGTATATTCCTGAGAATAACAGGTGCTTTTTTTTTCTTTAGTATGAATTGAGTTATGCTTGGTGCAAAAATGAATAGCTGATTATGTGCAGCTGACTGTCTCAGCAGAACCACTGACTTCACGGGATGTTTGTGAGAGCTACACTGATGCCTGGATACTGCGGGGATGAATGAACTCCGGTACGTGGGAGAGGTTGTACGCACAGGGGCTGCTTCCATGTGGCGGAGTTGGTATTTTTTTTTCTCTAATTAATTTTAAAAGAAGGAATAACAAAGTAACTTGATAATAAGGTACTTGGTTCACAATACAAAACTTCCACTTGGTTTGAACTCTGGTCGGTAAACTACTTGTAATCCATTCTGCACTAAGACTGCTAAACCTGAGATCTCAGTTCTTTGACATGCAAGCTGCAACAAGTAGGTACAGTACATCCTTTCCTAATGTATGTATGTATGGTTCCTAATAAACTCTGTAAATATACCTGTTTGTTTATATTCATTACAAACCTCTGCAGTTTCTGATGTTGAGTAGGTACAAAACCAGTAACTTTCCTGTGATTTTTTAAAATGGATTTGTAATTAAAATATAAAATGGTTGTTACAAACCTGTCTTTTAGTAGGTTTGCTATCTCACGATGTAGTTTGATTTTTCTTCAATGTTTTTCAATAGGGCTGAGACGAGGCATTTTATATCCCTGTTCTCTTAATTTTATCCTAACAGTAGCATCTCTTAAACCATTCGTTTTTCCCTTGCATGGGTTAGCAGCAAATTACTTTTTGTCATTGTATCATTGATACTGCTCCTGAACTATAGTATTTTCAGGTTGCTTTTATGCTGCCTTGGTTAGATGATCAGAGTAGAATGAGCAGCTTGTAGCACACAGCCTTTTTTCTGATGAGCTGTCACCTACATTTCATGAGTCTGCTTTTCTTTTGCATTAAGTGCAGTCTGTTTAGGTGGCGTTTCCATTTCAATGAAGGCTCTTCAGCATGACAGGAATGGTTAGGTTGCCATGGCCTTCTGCAGAGCTGTGAATGTTGCCCAAGTACCACATTCATCTTTGATCGTAACTCCTGTTGAGATTCTGTAAATTTTCCCTTAGTCTGAAGAAGAAAAAGCAAAATACTGGAATGTATTTGCAAGTCTGACTGCTAATGAAAATTAACTAAAGCTTCTTACCTTTGAAACAAACAAAAACCAAAAAGCAAACACTGTATTTCTCTTAATTTGCAGCATGACTTCTTTAGTTAGAATGCCTTTGAGGCTTGCGCAATTCCTAACCTGACAGTGGTTCTGGTTTGCTATCAGCCTCATAGAACAAAATCGAGGGATTATTCACTAAAAAGGTGAAGTCATTTCCTTTTTTTCTTACCTCCCTCACACTTGTGTATATACAAAAGCTTAAGTGTACATGAAACGTCTGTAAAATACCAAGTGCTTTTGATTCAATGGAAGTGTCATCACAAATGTTAATTTCCTCTAGTTTTACATCATAATATGCTGTAAGTTCCAGAATGACTTCTAAATGTAGTTCTTCCGAGTGGAAGAAGTAGCTTCACTTGTGCAGGTGGATTCTGGCCATTTTATAAACAACAGCTGCTGGTAACTACATGGGGAAATACATGTTCCTCTTAAGAAAATGATGGATAAACCATCATCGTCTGAAGGAAGTGCTGCAGAGGAGTTGCTACAAAGGCAAGAAAAAAACAACAAATGCTGATGGACAAGAACGCGTTGCTGTGAAATCCATCTCCCACACCAAAGCTGTTTTTCTCAACACGCACTTTAAAAATCTAAGAATGCTTTTAAACACTGTATTAACCATCAACATGTCATTCCAGATTTTGTAACGTGAGTAAGAGCAGAGTACTGGACAAGGTGAGATGACATTTCAAAAAATTTCTAGGTGCCCTCTGGATACTCAAACTATGGCTATATAAAACACTCATAGTGTTACTTGGAGGCCCGTGTTTGAAAGGATCAGCTGAACAAAAAACAGGAACTGTATTATTTTGCCTTCTATAGTCATTAAAACTAATTTGTGTTCCTAAGCATGGAACATTACTAGGGCACCTTTAACTGAGAAGGAAATCCCGAAGAAAAACAAACTCGACACTCAGCCACGTTTTAAATTAGTAAATATTCTTTTAGATCTCATGTATTTTATTCCATAACAATCAAACTTGAGAAACAGAAACCCTCTCCAGGATTGTTACTCTAGTGTGGCAGACAGCTGTGTTTAAGTACATAGTATTTATTTTCCCATTGTTACCGACGTTTAATAAAGTGACCAAGCTTGTAAATTTTCCGAAATTCTGCTCAAAATCCTACTTTCGCTACGGATCACGGTGGGAAGAGAAAGCAAGTTGTGCCTGTAACGAAGATGGAGCAGTCCTTAGCGCTGTGCCTGCGGAACGCAAGCCGGGGCCGCAGCCACAGGCGCGGGGAGGCCTGGCGGGGGCCGGCGCGGTGCCCGCTCCCAGGGGCCGACCGGCGGTGTCCCCTCCAGAAGCTGCGGGTGACCGGCGGGGAGACCAGGGAGCTGTGCCAACGCTGCGGCGGGAGCGGCCGCAGGGCAGGGCCGCGCCGCGCTTCAGACACCGCCGGGAACGCTGCGGCAGCGCAGGCCGGCTCGTCCTGACGGGCGATCGGCACCGGCACCAGCACAGGTTCCGCCCGCCCTAACACGGCACCGTCCCCCCGCTGCTGCCGCCGCCGAACCCGACCCCGCAGCCCCGGCGGACAACGGCCGCGGCCAGCCTCGCGGGACCGCCCCCTCCCCAGGGCCTCGGCGAAGCCTCGCGAGAGTTCGGCCCGCCCCCGCCGTGCCTTTCCCCGCTCTCGCGAGAGTTCGGCCCGTCCCTGCTGTGTCTTTCCCCGCTCTCGCGAGCGTCGCGCCCTTTCTGTTCTCTCGCGCACGCCGACAAGATGGTGGGTGCCGCCGCCGGGGCCGGGCCGGGCTGGGGGCCCCGCCGCTGCCCCTCGTTTTCGCGGCGGGACGTGGCTGGGGAGTAGCGGGGGGGGGCCGGCGGGAGGCGGTTCTCCGGGCCTGCGGCTCCCTCAGGGCGCGGTGAGGCTGCTGGGGCCTTCCCTCGGCGGGGGTAGGCCGTCATGGCGACTGCGGCCCCGGAGCAGCGCCGGCGGGTGCGCCTGCCTCTCGTTGATCGTTTTGCTCACAGCTGCTTTCCCGCTTTCCCGCAGCCTTCCCGACTCAGGAAAACCCGGAAGCTGAGAGGACACGTTAGCCACGGCCACGGCCGCGTTGGTGAGTGGAGAGGCGGCCGCTGGTGGGCTGAGGCCCCTCAGTGAGTGCGTGCCCGTCGGTACCTTCCCAGTACTGGAGGGATGCTGCAGTTCTTCACGGGTCGCAGAAAAGTGCAGCTGTGGGTGCAGGGACCTGCACACGCTCTGGGGGCAGATGCCACAGTGATGGGCTGATCCCAAGTCTTGCACATTCTTTCAGACTTCACTGGATTGGAAACTTAATTTCAGCGGTGCTGAGGTGATAGGTACTGGTTGTGTGGCATCTTAAGCTTATGGACCACTGCTGCGTCCCTTCTAACTCTTTGGCCATTCATACATTTACTGATCACCCCACTTGTGCAAGCATGGGAGTCTTCTTGTATTCCTGTGAGCTAACCAGAGGCATGCCATGGTGTTTGTGGTTTTTTCCTCCTGTAGAGTTAGTTTTTAGTTGGCTCGCGTCGTTGAATTCAGACAAATTCAGAAGAGGGGGAAGCAACATAATAATTAGCTTAAATTGACATTGAGTGTACCCCTAAGCTCAGATATTACGTGTAATATTCTTAGTATAACAAACAAATTTTTCTTTTTTAGGCAAACACAGGAAACATCCTGGAGGACGTGGTAATGCTGGTGGTATGCACCATCACAGGATCAACTTTGATAAATAGTAAGATGACGCTTTAAGTATATACGAGCAAAACGTGTGTTCCTGAAGTAGAAACAGCTAGCTTTTATATGCGGATAAACAAAGCTCCCTGCAATCCTAGTTATTTTCCTCTTAACATTAAGTGTAGCACTATAGTCACAGTCAGCTCACATCCTCATTTACCCTAAAATCAAAGTAAAACTTAAATCAGACATCGTGAAGAGTTCAGTGCAGTGTTCGGTAAACCTGACCAAACTTGCCTGTTACAGTGTGGTCCCTGCTTAATGATACACGCACAAAATATTATGTAAATTCAGTGTTATATTAAATCCAAACTGCATATTATTTAGCTGCATACAGTAAAGGTAAGGGATGTTGTCTTTATTTATTGCCGAGACTAGAGTCACATCTGGACACTGCCTGTTGTCCTGGTGTGCTAGAGTACTCGGACAGTAACCACTAATCTATATTCACTGGCTGTGACCATTCTTGACTCAGTCAGTCACCAGGTTAGTGACAGAAATTCCTTAGTCAGTGCAGCCCTTCGTGGGTTCATGGAGTTGGGGTTGCCCTGGAAATTCAGGGCTGGACTAGACTCGCCAGTCAAGGTGATCGAGTTGTGAATTCAATGGAGAACAAACACTTAAAATAATTGTTTCTTGGTTTGGATACTAATTACAGTTAAATACCATGCATATTAATACGAATAAAAGTATAATGTGACACTTTTTAAAATTTGATCAAGTAAGATGCTTGTTTCAGTGTTAATTTGTAGTCCTGCCTGTTCAGGATGAATTAAAAATGTGATCTAATGAGGAATGTGTTTCTTTCACAGTCACCCTGGTTACTTTGGAAAAGTAGGCATGAGACACTATCACTTGAAGAGAAACCAAAAGTTCTGTCCTACTGTCAATTTAGACAAACTATGGACGCTTGTCAGTGAACAGACAAGGCTCATTTATGCAAAAAAGGAGGCTGGACTGGCCCCCGTCATTGATGTTGTGCGCTCAGTAAGTTTCTGCTCATTCAAACCTGCGATTTCCGGTCACTTCACATGTAACTTTGCTTTGCATATCCAAGTAGGGAAATGATGAACTGCAAGTAAGTTACAGTGCTTGAATATTTCTGAATTTCGTACAACAAATATCTTGGCATGTAAGTAGTTATGCAGGTAGTTACGCTGTACGTTTTTCCCTTTAAAAAACTTTCTCATACTTGGGTGTGATCGTGGGCAGGGACTTCCCTTACTTTGGAAGGTGGTGAAAGATTACGTGTTGAAAATGTTACTGGAAGCACATACAAAAACATGGTAGAAATAGTCTCATTTGCATAGTCGTTTGTCTAATACCGAGACTAGAGTCACATCTTAACATGCTTGATTGTCTTGGTGTGCTGTAGTTCTCGGACATAAAAATCTGATCCCTGTTCACTGGCTGTGATGTCTTGTATCACGGCCAGCCACAGAACCAGTGACACCAACTGGGCTGCTGAGTGGGTGTGTTGTGTGCCCCTGATTAAGGTGCCCGTGTTGGCCAGTTACACCTCTTCTAACGAGCGATGACTTCAGCAGCCGTAGTGTTAATGGACCTTGTGCCATGATTGTCCTTTCCATGTAAAGGACAGGAATTAAATGAGAGGATCCCAGTGGTAGAGAACATGTGTTGCTGTGAGAGCTTGCCATAGCTTCAGCTGCACATGGAAGGTGTGCAGAGGAGTCCTCTGCTGTTCAGAAGCACCAGGGTGTCCCGCAGGGAAAGGGCACTGACCAGAAGTCTTTGGGTAGTGGATCATCTTGGAGGTGCAGCCAGCTGCTCTCCCCTTTGGAGAAGGGGGGGAAGGTTGGCGACTTCTTTACTGGATTTCACAGTGTTTTTTGTATATGGAGTATGGAGGGGGGGAAAAATAATCCAGCTTCTAAATTACAGGAAAAGTTTAGTTAGTACTTTTCACATTTTCTCTGAACAAACGCAACTCAGCTAGGTCATGCAGGGTATTTTCTTTTGTTTGTACCAATTTGTATTTGAGACAGTCACTGAATGAGGTCGTGGTGATGGTGTGCTTTTTAACTGGTGCATGCTAAAAGACAGGTCTGAATGGAGGAGGCTGTAAGCTGATTACAAACATTTAATGAGTTTTTTCATCTTTCTAGGGCTACTACAAGGTCCTGGGCAAGGGGAAGCTGCCCAAGCAGCCTGTAATTGTGAAAGCAAAGTTCTTCAGTAGAAGAGCAGAGGAGAAGATCAAAGAAGTTGGTGGTGCCTGTGTGCTTGTGGCATAAACTCCTTTGTTTTATTCAAATTTTTTGAATAAAGACAGTGTGTAAAATATGCTGATTTACGTAAGTTTATCTTTTTTTTCTTGACTTGTCCAGACACTGTTCACACTTAAGTCTTGTCTACTTAGTTATTCCTGGCAGTTTTTGATCAGTGACTTGACTGATTCTCACCATCTTTTGAAATTGCCTGGCTAGTGTCCAGCATTTGGCATGTGCACATACCTCATTGTTTCATCTTTACTGGATAGCAAAATAGGTGGGTTCTTCCTGTGTTTGTGCAGCTCTGAAAGGGTGACTTCGTTTTCTATTGATGGGGATTTTTGTGCCCTAAAATGACATCTAGTTGAAATCTGGGAATACTGCCTTGGCCTTTGGGAATGAAGCATCAAGAGCATGGACAAAAATGCAATGGAACAATGCAAAGTGAGTATTAGTGTGCCACAGCTTGCAGTGTGAAAGAGACTTAGTGAGGAGACAACTGTCAATAAGCTTAGTGATCAGTAGGTTGCTTTTTGAGATGGTGAAACAATTCTAGTCCCATTTCCACTAAGGTGGGGTGTAGGAGGGAATGAAGGGGAGATCCTTTGGAACAGTGTGGGGCAGTAGGGAATAGCTGAAATAGGTGGGAAGAACTGTAACTTAAATGAACAGTTTGTAAAATACTGAGGTAAAAGTATGTGATCTTTCTCTTGTGACTGCTGGGACCATTGCTTTCTAATACGTGATGTTATTTATCCACTGCCAAAGCTGAACCGTTTCTATCCTCAAAGGCAAGCTGCGCAGTGCTGCAAAAGGAGGATCACTGTTGCTCCCTCAGGTGCTGACTGGAGCACACAGTGACAGGTTCCACTGACACTCGAGTACCCTGTGCACACATGGGTAGTACTAGACACGGCTTTCAACTCTTTGGTATTTAATGTCTTTAATATATTATGTGTCGAGTGGTTTTGTATTTTGCAGTCCTGAAAGTTCCTTGTGGGCAGCGTGTAGCCTCCACCAACTCTGGCCTCTGCTCCACTGGCGGCTGGCTGGGTGTTGTGTGGGCTTGGGGTTTTTGCACAGCCGAGCGTGTGACACCTGCACCGAGGCTGGGCCAGGATCTGCCCTCCCTCTGGGGCTGCCTGTCCTTGTGCCGCCTCCCGAAGGAGCCGCTTGTGGGGGCTGGAGGAGTAAATCAAACTTTGTTTTTGTGGTTGAGCTGTTCACCGAGCCCTGTTTCCACGCAGCCCTTTTCCCCCGCCGGTGAAGCGGCGGGTACCCCGCGGCCCCTCGGCCGTGCCAAGGGCGGGGCGGCCGCTCCTGCCGGCGGCGCGCGGCCCCGCCCCGCAGCTGCCATGGGCGGCCGTTGGGCGCGCGCCGAGGGGGCGGCCGTTGGGGCGGTTGGGCGCGCGCCCTCCCTTCAGAGGCGGTGCCGCCCTGGCGTCGCGCTGCCGCGGGGCGGCTGCGGCGCCTGGGGGTCGGGTAGGCTCTGCTGCCCGCTGGCCACCCCGCCGCTGCTTGGGGTAAAATACTGGCGGGGAGTATTTCCGAGGTGTGGGAGGGCTGAGTAGTCACAAACAAACTGCATTTAGCGGCTTAACAAGAGGCTCCGGTGAGGGCTGATAGGAAACCTCCTATCTGTCAGCTGTGCAAGATGTCCAAATAAAGGATTTTCCTACATAAAAACAGGAGAAATGAGGAAGCTAAATGAAGACCAACTAACTACTTAAATGTAAAAGCTATTCCTTTACATTTGTTTGGGATTTTTTTTTGTTTTCTGTTTTTTTTTGGTTTTTTTTCCTTTTTTGTTTTGCTTTGTTTTTAACTGATAAGCATTATGCTATGGTAGATGGGGATATTTTTATTCGATGTTTTCCAAATTCTTGGCAGCTTACAATACTGCTAATGGAGCAATTATAGACAAAACTAGTAAAGTTGATGTTACAGTTTTTTAAAATGCTGTAATAAGCCTCATCTAGTAGCATCCACATTTAATGGAGGGAAGAAGATACAAAAAAAGAAAAAAATCCTCTGATTAAATGTGAGAAAAAGGAAATTGAAAGACTTGCATAAAGTGTTTATCCCTAAAATAGAGAAATTATAAAGTTATGAGAGTGTATAATTACAAACTTCTCTTGTATGAAAAGTATCAATGCTTTACTGGAAGTCCCAGTCCTGTGGTATCTGGATGCTTCCCTTCAGTTTGTGTTGGGGTGGCTGTTGCCTTCCCAAGGTCACAACTGATCTTCTGGTCCGGAGACAGCTGCCCAGTGCAGCACCGTGACTTGCCTTTGCCCTCCTGTGGCCTGACACACCAAAAGCACAGTACTTTTCCTCCTGTTCCAGCTGTGATTTGGCCTCCCAGCTGCTTCCCCATTTCTTCCCACCTTCATCCATTTCTGTCCTGTGTCCTGCCTCGTTATCCTAACCGTGCATCTCAAAATGCAATTAAGTTTGTTTTCTTTGCAATCACTGCTGCTGGACTTGGTGTCTCCCACCAGTGTAGCCAAGCCACTGGTAATGTAGCTGCCTGACTGCCAATTTGCATACCTGTCTCAGTAGGAAGTTTTGAACACATTTTGTCATCTTCATCATTCCCCCTCCTACCAAAAAAACTTGTATGTAGTTTCATATGTTATGCAAAAAGCATAAATTAAAATGTATAGTAGCCCGCTTCTGCTAGTTCAGCCAGTTTCAGCCTTTATGGTGATACAGCATTTCCCAGTATTAGTCTTTGTTTGCACTGGTTCTCTGTGCATGGATGCTTTGGCCCTGAGCTGTGGTTTCTCCATCTAAACTGTGTGGTACTCTGAGACCTCAACTTCCTACAGCAGAAATTGCATGGGTTTTTCTTAGGTGCTGGTTTTTCTTAGCAACAATAGTTGCAAGAAACTAGAGATGGAGTGAGCTGAGAAGCTGTGCTGCTCTAATGACATTTGCCTCTAAAAGATGGTTAATGAAGACGCACTGTAAAAAGTGAGCTCATGTAATAAGCACTGATACAATCCTCATTAGTTAAACCACAGGTACAATTACCACAGCTCATTTCTAAAAGGACCTCTAGCTTTGAAATTAGAATCATAAGTTGTAGTGGTAGGTTTGAATTTGTCTAAGTGAATTACATAAAGTTGGTGGTTTTCTACTTATTTTCATTTGTTCCTAGAATGGAGTCTTGTGTATGAAATATGATGCAGACTTTAACATATGGTCCATTTTTTCTAAAATATTTTAAATTGCAAAGACTTAAGGATACAACAGTCAAAAAAATCCTGGCTGTGAATTTCTGAGACATTCATCATTTTTTGCATTGTAGAAAATAAAAATGACCTGCTTCCTAACCATTTCCACTGGAATCTGCCCCGAGACAGAATCCCTCAAAAGAATACACAGCCCTAAGATTAGAGCTGCTACTTTTCTGTGCTGGGGAAATCTGAAGATTGTAGATGAAAGTTACCTACTGCTGGTAGCAAGGCCACCATGCCAAGGCAATGGGCAGCTGCGTGGGGCTCTGGCCCCAGGAGGTTCGGTCAGCTGGCAGGGTGATTCCAGCGGGGATGAGGCTGTGTTTGCTTTTTCTCCACTGATGCAACTTGCAAAAGTTTCTCTTTGCAGGCCGTATCTGATCAACATCTCTCAAAATCTCAGAATTGAGGATGGAACATGAACTGCAAAACTCTACCTTAGGGAGCTTAGGTTGGCAGGAGGAACACTGTTCTGCTTGTGGGAAGCACAGGTTTGGTCTGTAATTTGATTTGTGGTCATCTTGACAGTTGAGATTTGATTAGTGCAAAGTGCATTTTATTAAATTTCTGTAAAAATTGGCAGAAGATGCTGTACATTTATCAAGGCAGCTTTCTATCACGCATTGCTGAAACAATGGGCATACGATCAGTTATGGTTATTTGCTTTACCTGAAAACTGTAAAATATTGAGATGAAATTGTAAAAGCAGTCAGAGAATATAATAATTTTTATTGCACAGTTTCAGGGCTTCTAGCAGGAAATGTACAGCGTGTGACAATCAGCCTGGTAACAGCCTTGTAAGTAGATCAATAGAACAGATTACTTCAGTTTTTACAGAAGTTGCAAGTACTATAGAGAGATAGTGGGATCATGGTTTGTAAACCTTAAACCACACTTTCCTGCACAACAATCTGCAAAGATATTATTTTTTGTAAAGCAAGTATGTGATTTTCAGCTGCAAGGAACTTCCTCTTTCTTCACA